CATGGCAAGTTCCAGACTCACCAAGACCAAATAGGGAAACCTTGTCTCAGAACATGAAACAAAATACAAAACGATGACAAGAAGAGGTCCAAGCAAGTTTGTTTCTCCCTTTCACTGTGTAGGACATGATGAGAGGCATCAGCCATGAAACGAGAGTGGGCTGTCTTCAGACACTGAGTCTGCTGGTATCTTCTATTCCTCAGCCTCCAGGACTGTAAGAAATACCCTTGTGGTGCCGGTGAATGAGTCAGGTTATAACACTTTTGTTACAAGCAACCTAAATAGTCTAAGTCAGCAGCTTTATGTGACATCAGAAGAAAAGTATTTCTGATGTTTGATGCAAAAGACAAACACGGCTGGGATGGAGCTCAGTTGGGAGAGTGCTTGCCCAGCATCCAGAGGCTGGCATTCTTTATGGCATTCTATAACCAGGTATGGTGGGGCGCACTGCAGAAATACAAAGTCAGCCTCAGCTGCACAGCAGGTTCAAGGCCAGCCTCTTCTCTAAACAGCAACAAGAAAGAAAGAAAGGAAAGAAAGAAAGAAAGAAAGAAAGAAAGAAAGAAAGAGAGAAAGAGAGAAAGAGACAGAAAGAAAGCCTCACTACAAGAATCTGAATTTGCATATTTTTGTATATATATATAAATACTGTTATAAAGAGTTATAGAAAAGTGAAATTGATATAGTATAATGCTAGAAATATAAGATTATATCTTAAAGTTTCCTTTAATGTTGAGTCAATACATTTTTATAAGAAAAAAAAAGTGTACCAAGTAAAATGTATACTCAGGTCCTGAGGCCACTATTCAGCAATGTATTCCTAAAGATTGAGTTTTCCAAACCTGCTGACACCCAGGACTTTCTTCTAGTTCAATACAGGTTCCTAGGACCCAGACCAGCCAGATCCATTGAACCTTAATCTCCGAGGGAGGAACCCAGGAATCTTTGTCTCTAATAAGCACTGATGACTTGGTAACCAATAATTTAGGGCACCAAATGACGTCACTGTGACTTGAAAGAGCCAATATAATCTTCAGTCCTCCCATTGATTTTCCCACTAAGTATATGTTTCTCATTCCCCTGCATTCCCTCTTATTAAAGAACCACAACCTGGTTCTTCCAGGCACTCACAAGGTAGCAATGTTCTCAAGCAATACTTGGTAAGAGGAGAGAAATCTGAGCTTGACTTGGGTTACTTGGTGAATTACAGGTGCAGAGTAGATCAAAATAGCATTTAGGTCATCTGGAAAAAAAAAAAAGCCTACTTGTTTCCTTAAATGGCATTAGAATGGTTCATAGACAGAGGAGAGGGCAGCAAGAGGAGTAAATATGGATGTAGAACTGATCTTCCAATGAAGAATAGAGTCTGTCTGTCTCATTTCCTCCATGTCCTCAACCCAAGACCAGCTTGAGTGGCCAAGCAACCGAAAGCCTGCAGGGAGAGGCAGAGTTCATGGGAATGAGTTGAGGTCAGTCGGTTGGCAGTGGGTGGGGAGTCAGTTGAGAGACAGTGCGGTGGCAGTTCACTTCTTGGCAGTTTAGATCAGTTCAGCTGAGTGGAGTTGAGTCAGTGCAGTTCAGCTGAGAAAGTGCAGTGCAGCGGAGTTGAGTTTGTTCCGCATTCAGAGGCAGTTTTTCCAAGCAGAGTAATTCAGTGAGAAGCTGAGAGAAGCCAGATTTTTTTTTCTTTAATCAGTTAGCTTGGAGAGGAGTTTGAGCCAGAACAGCTGAATTGAACCAGCCAGCCAGAGTTCAGAAAAGGGTGAGCTTGTTCAGCAGTAAGCCAGCCTCTGACAATCACTTCAGGCAAATAAAGGGTACTTTTACACCAGTGCATCAAGTCACATACTTGAACACTCAGACACAAAAAAGACAAGGTTTTGAGACAAATCTATACAGGGGGACTTTAAATACTTATTTAACAGAAAAGTCAGATTTATTTATTCCCTGGAGCTTTATGAAAACTAAGGTAGGTGTTATTGCCTGAAAGCAAGAAGGAAATGGCAAAAAGAAGAAATATTCTTAGTTAACTGTTCAACAAAACTGAGCTCTACAGTACTGCGAACCTGACTAGGCAATTATACAACCTAAAACAGCAGCTCTCACTGATGGTGGGAAGCAAACACAAAAATAGAAAGTTTGACTCTGTAATATGCTTATGAAACAGGTGACCTTAGGTATAATGAAGAAACTCAGGGAAAACATGAAACACATCCAGTTTCTGATTTGGTGGATCTCGAGCAAGGCCTGGGAATCTCAATTTTAAATAAGCACTTCAGACACTTCTGGTGCTAATTTCTGGCCACAGTTTTGAGCGATACTAATTGCTAACAAGAGGACACAGACAAATTGTGTCTAGTTGGTCTGAGGTTAAATTGAGATACTGAGATTCAGATATCAATTTATAATTCCTTACCATGTCCCATTAAAATGCTCTTAGAACTAAGAAATAACTCTCTAGTCTTTAATTTAGTCTGTCTTAAATATGTATCCCCATAAGCCCAAAGCAACAGGACCAACTAAGCATGTACCAAAACCTCAGAAACAATGAGCCAAAATAAACTTTTCCTCCTTATAAGCAGATTGTTCCAGGCATTGTGTCACCATAACAAAAAGATGGCACCTCCATCCCTTGAGGCCAAGTGAATGCATATCCTCCTTTGTGAAGCTTTCTCTGATCTTTCGGATCAGAAGTACCGTCTCCCATTTACGTGTTCCCACGGTTTGTGTTTGCACACCTTTCTAAAGGCAGAGAAATGCTGTCAGCTGAATCACTGTTCTGAACGCACACCTTCAGGAAGGATGCCCTAAGGGAAATAAGGTGTCAGTGCAGCCAGCCAGATCAACAAGACCAATTCAGCAGATAAGCGGCCAGACTCCCACAGTCCCCGCTACAAGAAACATTTCTATCTCAGCCTCTTCCTAGAGCTTCACCCTTCCATCAGCCAGCAACATATCCTGAATTGAAGTTCAGTGGATTTTAATTTTTTTAAATGCATCTAATAATACAATCTTAGATGTTAGCAAAGATAGGAAATGTCTCATCTAGTCAAAAGATTAGGGGTGTGTGTACATATGCAAAGAAGTGTTGCACAAATGTACATGTATGTGGCGGCCAGAGGTCTCTGTTGGGTGTCTTTCTCAATTGCTTTCCACCTTATTTTTTGAGACAGTACCTCTCAATGAATCTGGAGTTAGACTGGCTAGGCTACCAAGTCCCGGGAGTCCTCCTGTCTCTGCCTTCCCACTGCGAGGATGCTGCAGTACCTGGCTTATTATGTGCGTCCTGGGAATCTAAACTCAAGCTCTCATGCTTGCCTGGCAAACTCAGTTTACCAGTTGAGTTATCTCCTCATTCCTAAAAGATGAATCTTTAAAACTATAGCTGGGGCTGGAGAGATGACTCAGCAGTTAAGAGCACTGCCTGCTCCTCCAGAGGGCCCAAATTCAATTCCTAGCACGCACATGGCAACTCACAACTCTATCCAGTTTCAGGGGATCTGACTACCTCTTCTGGCTTCTGCAGGCTTTGCACAAACATGGTGCACAATTATATATACAGGCAAAATACCCACACATAAAACAAAATGAATAAGTATTTTTTTAATGTAACTGATAAAAATTCACAAAAACTTAAACCCTCTTACTATTTAGGATAAGAGCTCATTTATTCCTTTTAAATACAGGTCTGCTAACCTGAACCAGGAAAAAGTATGGTTATAGCTTTCTCTTTTATAAACCCAACTCCTTGTGGAAGTGCCATTGAAAAAGTCAGATCTCTTAGCATCGTATTCCACCAGACCCAGCCTCACCATATCCCCAACACACACCCTGATCAGAAAGGCAGAAAGATGGGAAGGGAGTGAGTGGAATGACACAGAGTGTCAGCATTACAGTAATTTTATTTTAATTCTGTGAATCAAAAAAAAAATACAAAAGAAATCAGTAGAATACAGCTCTGTCCAGAGCTGTATTGTAGTGCAAGCCTGTGTAGCATACAGGAAGATTACGAGGTTAAGGCCAGTGAATCTCTATCTCACAAAAACAGGCAAAAATTAAATGATAAGCAAACAAATAAGTCTGAGGAGGTAGCTCAGTGGGGGAGCACTTGCCTGTCTTAGCCAGTTCCTGGACTCCATCCCCATCGCCAGTCAACTAAGTATGTACGTGAGCAAACTAAGGGCAACACTCCATTACTGTCTCACTTCATCCAGCTATGGAGGAAGACGCTCTCTTTCAAATCTTCACAAACGTGAAATTGGAAACATGGATCTTGAGAAGTATGCATCCATCCCCACCTTGTCTTGTGAAGTGTCTTCCATAGCTGGTTGGCTTAAAACTACATTTGGAATTCGAACTTCTCCTGAGAGTGCAGATGTTTGTTTTGGTTGAGAAGATTGAGTTTGCAAATTAAAACGAAACTACCATTTGTTTTGAAATTCTCCTTATGTGTATGGGCTGTGGCTATCACTGGATGGTAGAGTACTTGGCTAGCATACAAAGAGCCATGAGTTCAATTCCAAGTGCTTCCAAAACATATTACCCCAAACATGCATGGGAAATGGAAGGGTGGATTGAATGAGCTGAGTGGCAGGAACTGCTTAAAATTATCCCCTGACTTGTATTCCGTAGTTAAGACCAACAGAGCTGACTATTAACAGTTGTCCACATGTGGAGAGGTAAGGGAAGAGGATTGCTTGCTGTCGGGTCACTTCATACAAACAACTGCATATGAAGTGAACGTTCTCCTAATGAACTTAAAGCATTTATCTGCTTATAGAAATTCTATTTCACCTTAATGCATCTAGAAAGCTTCCAAATTTAATAAAAGTAGGAGAAAATTATTTCAATTTAGACTAAATTGTAATTGGTTCTCTGAAGAGGTAGCAATGCCCTAAGCACAAAAGTAAGATTACAGTCGATTAGTGGAGAGAAAATTAACACACTATAATATGCACACATCTAGAAAGTTAGACCTAAAATACATATTGGATACTCACCAACCCTCCTATGATATGGGTATGGTTTGAGTGTGTTCACTACAGCTCGTGCACTGGAATCTGTGGTCATCATGGATGAAACCTTTAAGAAATGGAATCATGGGAGGCAAAGACAGAAACATTGTAAGTTCAGGTCTGTGTCAGTTACTTTTCTGTCACTGTGATAAACTACCACAACTAAGGCAACTTATAGTAAAAAAAAGGAGTCCATCGTGGTGAGGAGCCGTGGCATCAAGTGGCAAGCCCGGCGGAAGGAGTGGGAAGCTGAGAGACCACATCTGCAGTCTCAAGCACAAACCAGAGCATGAACTGGAAGTTGGCTGAGACTATACACAATCAAAGCCTACCCCTAGTGACATCCTTCAGCCAGGCTCCACCTCCCAAAGGACCCCCAAACAGCAACCAGCTGGAAACCAAGTGTCCAAATACCTGAACCTATAGGAAACATTCTCACACAAACTACCACAAAGTCCAACCTAAATTTGCTTACTTCAAATGTAGATTATGTATTTTTGTGCATTAGTACTACACGATGTTGGGTTACTGATGGGGCGTTATAGTCAGAAGCACGTGATGGTGGTTCCTCCCACAGCTTGTGGCAGCCTTCTTAATCATTTGGTTATGAGCCTGCTCCTTGAATTTCTGTATCAGGCTTTTCTTTTCTGTAATTAATGTGTCATGTGATGTGGATTATTTTGAGACTGTGTGCTGGACCTCACCGCCTGTTTGCCTTCTTGTTTTAGCATCTTTTTGGTGGTTCTTGTCTAAATTGATTGTTTTGTTGGGAAAGTCACATATAATAAGAGTCGTTACTTTTAAAGCACACAATGGACAGATGGCTTAGAGGTTAAGAGCACTTGCTGCTCTTCCAGAGGACCTGAGTTTGGCTCCCAGCACCCACATTGGTGAGCTCACAACTGCCTATAATTCTATTTCCAGAGGGTCTATCGTCCTCTTCTGGCGTCTTAAACACCCATATCCACCGCATGTAAGCACATATGTACATAAATTAAAAGCAAAATAAATCTCAAAAGCACACAAAATTCAGCGTTTTAAATATTTTCACAAGCTTTTACACCCACGACCACTATTAATACCATTAAAACATATTTTAGATTTACTTCATGTGTATGAGTGTTTTGCTGACATGTGTGTCTGTGCACCAAGCTGCCATGTGGGTGCTGGGAATTCCTCTGCAAGAACAAGTGCTCTTCACCACTGAGCCATATCTCCAGCCCCACCCCCGCCCCAAATCTCTTTACAAGATTACATTTATCTGTCTGGGGTGTGTCATTTCTCTCCTTTTATCATGTGGGTCGTAGAGATCAAACTCAGGTTTGGTAGCAAGTGCCTTTACCCACTAAAGTCATCTTGCTGGCCCCTAATTTCACTTTCTCATCAGCCACAAAAAGAAACAGTACACGCGTTAACTGTTGTCTTCCACAGTTCCCATGCTGAGCCAATCCCTCTGGCCCCTGCCTCTAAGGATTTGCCTATACGAGACATCGTATATAAAAGTAGTCAGAGAGTATGTGACTCTTTGTGCTTTTATTCCATTAACATGTTTTCAGGGCTTATCTGCTGTCTATTAGTTTTTAAATAGCAGTATCCTGTTCCTTTTATGAACTGAAATTATTACTATGACTCTTGGGAAATGCTGATCTAAATACAATTTTCCATCTAAACTTATGAAGATAACATGGCTTTTATCACCCTCTGTCGAGTTGCTTTTAAAGGAAACTGTGTCGTTCGTTTTAATAAGAAGGGCTCCGTTACCCTCAGGTAGTTTCCAATCAGACGAAAGGGCCGTGACGACCTTCTTCCTCGGGATTTTCAGAATGCTCGCTCGTTTTCAACAGGGTAGCCTCCGATTTTAAAGAGCCACAACGACCACCTTCCTTAGGATGTACAGTATCTCTCTCCTTTCCACTGAACAGGGCAAGCTAGCATCCCTTTCCTCCTGTCATCCCACGAGCTCCTCCCTCTCCTTAGGCTCCCCCCGCCCGGAGGAGGCAGGAGGAGGAAGTGACGCGCAGGAAGTGTCCTGGTCCCCTTACAGTGGAGGAAGGAATCAAACTCCCAAGATGGCGGCGGCGTCTGAGGATCGGATGGCTGAGGAGGGAGGCGGCGGCCACGGCGACGGCGGCCCCTGCTCGGCCGCCGGCTCCGCACAGCGACAGCCCCCGCCGCCCCCGTCGCAGGCCCCGCAGCCGGGGTCCCAGGCGCCCGGCGCGCCCGCGCTGGCTCCGGACCACCTGCCTCAAAACAACACACTGGTGGCGCTGCCCATCGTAGCCATCGAGAACATACTCAGCTTCATGTCCTACGACGAAATTAGCCAGCTCCGCCTGGTGAGGCCCCCGCGGGACCCCGCCTCCGCGTCCCCCGGGCCGAGGTCTGGGGAGGGCCGGCGAGGGCGGCGCGGCCCCGGGGAGGGAGCCCCCCGCCAGCCTCCGCCGGCGCGGGACACGCAGCGCGCCCCGGCCTCCGGCGGGTGTCCCTGGCGACGGTCGGCGGGGCGCTTGCTGCACCGGCATCCCGACTCCCGGGCGGGCGAGGCTCTGCGCCTTGAGGGTCTCCTCGCCCCCAGCCTGGGACGCGCCCGCCAGCGAGAAGTAACGGAGTTGGGCTTGGTGCCCGCCACCGGGCTGAGCAGGGATCCCCGAGGGGCCTGGCAGCCTGCCTTGACTTACCGCCCTAGCCCGTCGCCCGGCTTTTGAGTTCGCTCCCAAGTAGGCAGATGATCCAAGCTAGGCTTGGGTTGTGTTCAAGAATAGTGTATTGTTCCTCCAACCACCCAAGCTTCCTGGTTGAAAAGGCTGAAGTAGGTTTGGTCTTTCTCCCCCCCCCCCCCCTCCTTGAATCCCAGTTGAGGTTCTAAAATTGCAATTGTGTTTTTGTGGCTTTAACCCCCGGAGCCTTAGTTGACCACTAAAGCAGAGCCCCGGGAAATGACCACTCCGGCTTTGCTGCTCTGACACTTCCTGTCCATAGCAACTTGCCCCTTGACAAGCTATTACTCCTCCTCCTCCAGCTCTTGCAATGATTTTTTTTTTTAAACTAGTGTTTCAAGCCCACCAGCCCGCAGTCGGAGTGGTTTAGTTACACCCTAAAAAATAACACGCTCTATCCAAGGTATAAAGAGGAAAAAAAAAAAAAAAAACAACACCGTGTTTGGAATTTTACTACATTTGACTGAAGATTGGATGAATTCCTTGGTTCAGGAAGATATCTCACTTCCTTCCAGTGAATTTATCCTTAAGAAGTCAGGAAATTGGAGGTGGTGGACATTTTGAAGTGATTGTGAGCTGGTTCTATGTAGTCACTAAATGTTCTCAGGATTGTTTATAAAAGGACAAAGACATCTTTCTGAATGTGCTGTGTGTAGCGTTTTCTTATTAATTGATATGTCATATTTTAGACCTATACCTCCAGTTCAAAATTGACCATAATTGCATTTCAAAGGAAATCATCTTTAAAAAAAAAAAAAAAAACAGCTTGCAATCATTCATTCAAATGGGCAGGTTTTGTGTGTATGTTTCCCCTGGTCTGTAGAATGGAAAATTTCTTCAGTTGGAAGTAGGCATTTCAGAATACAGTGTCCTTGATTTTCAAAACATCATCCTGGGATTTCCTGTAGAAGCATAAATATTTCTTTATATTTTATAAAGAGTGGTGTTTGACCAAGATGCACGCTGTATATACATGGTGTTTGGCAGTTGGGCATAACGTGTGATTGAACTGAGCCAGTCAGCCAGACAATGGCTTTGCAAAGCTTGGAATGTTCACAGTTGTTTTGTTAAGTGTTGAGAAAAACTGGCTTTTATTTGCTTATTAGTCCTTTTCTTTATTTTTTCTCCTTTCATTCATTTTTGTTTGTTTGTGAGTTACTGTTTTTTTCACCATTCTGGAGTTCAAACTCAGCCTTACACCTGCTAGACAAATGCTCTATCAGCTATGACTCATTTTTCTTTCTTTAAAAAAAAACAAAAACAAAAAAAAACCTGTTTAAAGGGGAGAAAATAGACTATGCTTGGAGACCTGAGGTAAAATGGATCCCTCAAATTTACTAATAACTGGCATCTCTTTCATGTGAAATGTATAGCTATCTGAAGCTTTTTTTTTTTTTTTTCCTGGCCTTTAGTGTCACAAATTTGTAATTTAAAACATTTTTTTTAAGGAGTCCCTGTTATGCTCCATTCCCACTTACAGCCAGTTTTATACCTGCACCTGCACAGATGGTTTTAGAAACTGGGAGGCCCCTTTCCTTTCTTTACATAATGTTACTGTGTCTTTATGGAAATTAAGGTGGATCTATGGCATTAGATCCATTGGCTTCAGAGAACACAATTTAAGTGGTGTAAAATACAGATGTTCTTTCTTGTCACTAGGTGTCAGCAGTAATTTAATTATGATCTTTTTGTGAGATTGGTGGAATGGAGACATTGCCTAGTCAGGCTCTTTGTATATATCTTTTCAATTTAAGTGGTTGTTTTTACCCAAATCGTTTGCCATGAAATCAAGAGACTTAAGTGTATGTGCTGGCATCTGCTGTATACATTACCTGAGTTCCTTTCATTGTGTTCTCTTGAGTAAGAAGTAAGGGAGTGATATTAAGAGCACAATTGGCTCCCATTTAGCACAGTTATGACCCAGGATCCACTTTATGCATTTTTGAGATAGATATTTTGCTTTTTTCTTCCTTTCCCATTTTCTTTCTTGCCTCTTCCTATAAGGTGTCACTCTTCCAACTCTTTCTAGCACCTAACTAAAAGGCAGGTACATAACCCAAGTACTTATTTTTTTAAATTCTTTATTAATTACACTTTATTCACTTTGTATCCCCCCTGTGATTTCCTCCCTCCTCTCGTCCCAATCCCTCCCTTCCTCCATCCTCTGCATGCATGTCCCTCCCCAAGCCAAGTACTTATTAATATTCTTTATATTTTGTAAAAGATTTCTAACCTGAAGTTGCTATAATAATATTTCAATTATTTGTTCAGGTTAGTCGGTGATAGTCTTTGCCTCCAGTAACCATAAATAATTGAAATTTGATTTTCCAGTCTACTGATTTCTAAGGGTCTGTCTGAATGCCTTACTAAATTGGCTATTTTTCTACCACTAAATCTCGCTCCCCAAACATATGCAGCCTTGAAATCCTGGTTCCACAGAAACAGTGTTAAATATTTAATTCCTATAATGTGTTAAAATGTATCTGGCTGAATGTAACTTTTCAGATGGCAGGGTATATACTTTGAGTTGGTTCCTTCCCAGTTAGGGCAGACAAGTTAGTGCTGGTGCAGCTCTGGTGTGTCACACAGACCCCTTAATAAGTACCTGAGAGACTTTGAAACAGGTGGCCAAGGGTTAGAATTCAGATTGTATGAGGGAGTAGATCAAAGTTAACTTTGGACATGTTACCTTGGCTCATGAGCCCTGTGTTGTGTATGGTAGGGTTTTCAAGGTGGTAGAGATATTGTCATTGGTTCCCGTAGTTCAAGTGGTGTTCATGTAAATACAATGGAATATTAGTTTTTCAGAACATAAATATGACTGCACCGAGAATTTTTGCTTGTTACCTGGAATGGAAATTTCCAGTAAGTAACCAAGTATCTAAAGCCATGCTCTGTGCAGAGATATTGTCTAGATCACTCTAGAGAGTTGAACCTGCTGTTTATAGTTCCTTTTGTGGTTTTTCTTCAACATTAGAAAGCTGTAGTTATGGATTGGGCTGGTAGTAGGGGATAGGAAGGGCGATGCAGAGGCCTTTTTCTTTTGCTTTGAATTGGGCAGCTTCTCTGCCTTGTTTCTCACTGCATGCTAGAAGCTCTTGACCAATTTTTTTGTCTCAGTGTGCCTTTATAGTCTTTAAAAGTCATTGATGATCCCAAAAGCTTACCTTAGAAAATTCTATAAAACACAAGAAAACAAAGTACATATCCATTAGCTGTCAGAATAGGAGTACATCATAGAATTACTGTATTGCTTTAGAAACTTCACCTGGATACCTGTGAGTGAGTGAGAGTCTCCTTATTGCCATTCTGAGAATAGTTGGCCATGAAGATTCCTGAAAGGGTCCCACTGCATAGCTTGAGAGCCACTTCCCGTGTTTTACAGTGTACTGTTTTGTGGATTTTACTCACAAAGTAAAGGGGTTCAGTCAGCAAGCCTGTCACAGTGCCATTATGGAGACGCAATGGATATATCCTTCCCAACACATGTGCAAAGCACCAGAATCAGAAAGGCACAAAGCATAAATGAGAGCATTGAACAGGAAATACATCTTCAGGACATGGGTTTCTACCAGATAGTACAAGTGGAACACTTCCTACAGGAAAAAACCTAAAGTGCTGAGAAAACGGGGAGGACTGATGAAAAGGATTGGGATGATCTGGAATCTGGAAGCATAAAGTTTCAAATATGCTACTGGGTAGTTTCGCTATACTTGATCTTTGTTCCACAGAATAGTGAAGTAAAGAAAACTTTGATGCTCTCCAGCATTGACCGTTGTTGGTGAGGAGAAATGTCTTAAGTACATTAGCAGAAGCCATTGGAGAGGGGGCTCAGCAGTCAGAAGAATGGAGGTCAGATCCCTAAAACCCGCATGTATGCCAAGTGGGTGTGACAGCCTATGTGTAACTCTAGCTTCTAAAGGCAGAGATCCCTGAAACAAGCTTGCTAGGGAGCCTAGCTGGTATTGGCAAGCTCTGAGTTTGAGGCAGTGCTTCAGAAGAATAAAGTGGCTGGGTATGGTGGCGTACACCTTTAATCCCAGCACTTGGGAGGCAGAAATAGGTGGGTCTCTTGAGTTCAAGGCCAGCCTGGTCTACAGAGTGAGTTCTAGAACAGCCAGCACTATACAGAAACCATGTCTCAAAAAAACAACAAAGAATAAAGTGAAAGAGAAATTGTGGAAATTTACCAACATTAACCTCATTTCTCAGCATGCACATACGCCTACACTGGTTAACACACACACACACAAAACATGAAGGAAAAACATTTCTACTTATTTCGTAGAAGCCATGTGTATTCCCTGTGCTTGGATCTGGAATGCCTCCCAAAGGTACCTGGTCTCCAGCTTGGCCCTGGTAGGAGCTGCCCAAAACGTCAAGAAGTAGGGCCCACTATGGAGACATCACTCATTGGAGCCGTATCCTGAACCCTCATGGGATACGGGATTCAAGAACCCTCATGGAGGGATGTCCTTCTTCCCAACAAACCTTTCAAGTCTGGTTCATGTTTTAGGACCACTGAATTTAATTAGAGTTGTTTTGCGTAAGCATGGGCTTTTAAAGTGGTGCTGGCCACCCTACCTCAGGTTCTCTTGTTTGTGCGCCAGGTCATATCC